ATAAATAAATAAATAAATAAATAAATAAATAAATAAATAAATAAATAGAAAAAATGAAGAGAGAAAATATGGTAGGATAAACCAGCATCATTTTAAGTTTTTGTCCTTTCCAGGCTTTTGGCATTCTCTCCTGAATCTGTTCCAACTGCTTCTGGAAGCTTCTTAGCTGGACAATACGGAGTCCCCATGGCCCCTCTATTATGAGAAGTCATACAGGAAGAGTCTAGGTTTATTTTAATGGGCTCGTTTAGGAGTCTGACTCTGGATTCAGAACCAGAAGGGGAGGTAAGCATTCCTGCTACACCTAGGAAGCAAGAGGACACACTTCATGTCTCTGGCTGCCTGTATGGCAACAGAAAACATCTTCCAGGGAAGCTGGGGCTTCCTTCTGTCTGAAAAACTCTATGTTCCCAAAGGGGAAGAAGGGAAGGAGGGAGGAGATAGACACAGAGGATAGAACAGGGATGCTGGAGGGGATGAAAGGCCGTACCACGCCGAAGATGTGTGAGATATACTGCATGCTGAACTGCTGGCTCTGTGGTGGCCAGTACTGCAAGAACGTATCCACGTCTACTCGGAGTTCCTTCTGCTCCTCCTCCCCAAAGTGCTCCACGTGGTTCTGCAAGTCATCCACTGACACCAGGCAGCCCTCTGTGAGCCCGGTGCCCTCTCTCTCCACCCGCCACATGATGCGGGCTGCCAGCCTGGGAAGAGAGGGGAGGACAGCATTAGGAAGGCCTAGACACACTCATCATTCATTCATTCAGCAAGCAGCAAGCACCAGTGCCTACTGCATGCTAGGTACAGTGTCAGGGACAGACTTCTATCAAGATGCTTCCTGCAGTATGGAATATTTCAGTGAACAAGGTCATTTTAAATAGTGCTGAATGCTATGCAGAAAATAAAATAGAATGACATGAGAGAAGCTGGGGGGGGTAGGGGAGCCAAGGTCATCAGGGCAATGTGAACCAGCAGATGTATCTAAGCAGGAACTGAAGGACAGAAGCCAAGATCATCAGGGTGATGGGAATCAGGACATACATCTGAGCAGGAACTGGAGGACAGAGGATCCGACTGGGGCGGGGGTGGGGGGAGGAACAGCAGACATGCTACCCTGGAGCCCAAAGCAGAAAGAGCAAGAAAGCCCAGATGTCCGAAGCATAGTGGACAATGAGTGGAGACAGATGGTAGTTAGACAAACAGACAGGAGCCGAATCACACAGAGTCTGGGACACAGAGACAAGATATAGGTCTTAGGCCTATGGAAAGAAAGACAGAATAGGATAGGAGGAGATCCTGATGACCTTTGAGTCAAACTGAGGGGAGTACTTCACCCCAAGGCCTTCCGTGTTAACTGATAGGTGGTAAGTTGCCACAAAATGAATTCTGTGTCCCAGAGACCCTTGGTTTCACACCGCTGCCTGGGGATTGGTGGTCCAAGCAGACCTGCTCCTGCAGGGAGAGACTTTTCCTCTTGCTTGGCACAGCCCAGGCCCTATTTTTTTCTGTTTGGGTCAGAATTACCCTTAGAAATGTGCCTTTCTAGGCTCTCCAGGTGTCTGGGATCAAATGGTCTCCACACAGAGCCCAGGGCAACATGGGACAAGATACAGTTCAAGATAAGGTGTGGGAAAGATCAGTAGCTTCTAAGTCCCGGGGATATGGTACCAAGGAAAGAGGGGACAATGGGTGACAGATTTCAAGTCAGTCAGACATTGGTCGATAGGAGATGTCCAGAGGAAAGAAGTTAGGAGATGAATTTACTGTGGGTCTTGAAAACTATGACTTGAGAAGACAGGGCAGGGAGCCTGCGGAGGCTGATGGAGCCTGAGCCTGGAGATTCCTAACATTCCCAGGAGATGAGGACTCCGTTCTCGACTGTCACACCCTGTAAGCCCTGCAAACGCTTTCTATTATCACTGTCCTCTCCCACTTCGCTTCTGAGTCTGTCTGGCTCCCTACAGGCCACCAACACCCCAACGCCAACACCTTCCAGGAGAGCCACCAACACCCCAACGTCAACACCCCAGCGCCAACACCTTCCAGGAGAGCCACCAACACCAGGCAGCTCTCCGAGGGAACTCTCATACTAGGCCTCCTAGCAACGGCCCCATGTGGAGCTCTGCATCCCCAGTGCTGGTGCCTGGACTGCAAGAAGGATCATTGTAAGGTGAGCTCAGTGACTTAGAAACTCTCCTCTTACAAGAGACACAAGCTGTTAACTGCAGCATGCCTTGTCAGAGCTTCCATTTTACTCTTGTTCCCTAGAGAAAACAGAAACCCTATTTTTCGCAACGGGTGCTTTATTGAGTTATGTGGGGGTCTTATGGGCCTCTCTAGGAGCTACAATTTGCAATCGGTGGTATAGACACCCAGTGTCTCTCTCAGGCCTAAAGGAGTGAGCAGAATAAAGGACCAGAGACATTGGCACCCAGCCTGGCATCCTGAGGCCTGGGAATGCTGGCACCCCTGCCATCCCAGCCTGGCATCCCCAAGTCCTGTCCTGGGAACCATCTCTGACCTGATGTTCTCGTTGGGCACCTTCCCATATCTCTTGATGGCAGTGCACTCGTTCTTGTGGTTCAGCCAAGCATCCTTCTGGCACGTGCGGTCGCAGTAGTGGGCGAACTTGCACTGCCCACAGCGATGGAGCTTCTCCTGCCTCTTGAAGCAGGTGTGGCACACGAAGTTAATGAGGCTGAAAACACAGAGAGGGAAAAATGAAGACAAGAGGAATTGCTGGAGCTGGCTGGCTGGCTCAGTGGTTAAGGTCAAATATTACTCTTGCAGAGGAGCCAAGTTTGGTCCCAGCATTTATGCCGGTGGCCCATTACCACCTGTAAAGCCAGCTGCAGAGGATTGATGCCTCCGGCCTTAGAGACCACCCACTCTCATGCCCATACATAATATGCATAATTAAAAAGAAAAATATAAAACATTTTTAAAAGAAGGGGTGCCTTTGCCCATATTTTGCTGCAAATAACACATTACCACAAAGTAGGTAAGCGGGGGGGGGGGTGCTGGCTGGCTGGCATACCTGCAATTCCAGCCCTCAGAAGGCCAAGGTGGGAGGTGGAGAGTTTGAAGCTAGCCTTAACAAAAGGGATAAAGAAGACAGATTTACTTTAGTTCACAGTTGAAAGTGCCTGCTAAAGAACTAATTCCATCCAGAAGAGGCCTTTAGGATGAGACCTTAGTCTTGAAAAGTGAGTCTAAAGTTGAGGATGATAAAGACCACATTCTGAGCCAGGACCGGGCCCAGGCTCCCCCATCTGCGGTAATATACCCTTCCCATGTGCCCTGCTGTGGTTTGGGTACAGTCTAAATGTGTCCCCATGGTTAAATGTCTGAGTTGTAATTCCCACTTAGAAGTAGTAAGAGAGTGGAAACAATTAGACTGTGTGTCCTGAGGTGGACCCTTTGGGAGGTAGGGTTAATCAAGACATCAGAGGGGAGCTACTCTCCCACGTGTTCATTGGGACTGGGCTTGTAGCTTAGTGGTACAAGCTCAGCACAGGCAAGGTCCTGGGTTCAATCCCTAGAATAACAACAACAACCCAAATACAGCTGCAGAGATGGCTCAGTGGATAAAGGTGTTTGCTGCCAAACCTAACAACATGAGTTCAAACTTCAGGACTCACATGGTAGAAGAGAAGAACTCCTGCATATTGTCCTCTGACCTCCACATTTGTCACACACACACACACACGCACATACACTTGTGCTCTCGAGATTGTACACAATGTATAATTTTAAATGTAATTTAAAATCCCTCCGAATAATCAGTTTTAAGAGGAGAAAGGCTCACAAGGGCAGGCTTTAACTCACGGCTGTGGAGGTGCTGTCCGTGGTCAGCTGGACCCTTACTTTTAGGCCTGCGTCAAGGTAGTAAATCATGACAGAAGTGTAGGGCAGAGGAAGCCCGCCTCTCACTGGCTGGGAAGCAAACAGAAAACCGCTGTGGCCAGGATCCTACTATCCCCTGCTCCGGCCCACTTCCCAGTGATTTTTATTCCCTTCCATCCGTCAAGCTCCAACTCCTAAAGAATCTGCAACACCCAGTGGTACCAAAGGCTGGAACCAAGCCTTTAATACACGGGTCTTTGGGGACAATCAAGATATGAACTGTAGAATTCTGCTGTGCCCCAAAGGCTCATGCCCATCTCCTGAAGAATCCAATTTACCTCCGTGATAGGTTCTGACAAATATTTCATTAAGATACTCTTCATACCTCACCACCAGAAGGTTGTTCGGGACACTCGGTTATCTAACTGGAAGTGTAGGGTTCACATTTCTTCTAGCTCCATTCAGTGTAATGGCCAAGGTCATCCTGAGCTGTTTGGTCATCTTTATAAAAGGTGTATCCTGAGTGTGGAGTCATCCAAAAGTCTGAGAGCCTGACTTAGTTTGGGAAGGAGGAGGAACAAGTGTCCACCTCTGACTCAGAACACAAATCTAAGTCAGGAATAGGAATGAGCCAGGAAAGGATCTGAAGAGGGCGGGTTAGATGTAGGCACAGTCATGCTGGCTGTCAGTTATTACTCTGCATCTGCCTGTTCAGGGGCATCCTACTACTGCTCTGATAGGTTATTTCCAAATGGATATTCTAGAACACTCTAATAGAGCCTCTTTGTGTTTTTACTCACATATGTATATTCTGTATCTAATGCATTAAATTTTGTACCTACATTTTGTACTAAACAGAAATATTACAAAACACAATTCCCATCGCTGCCTGTGCCAAAAATGTTAACTACTAGGGGCTATGGGTATAACTCAATACATGCTTCCATTTTTTTTTTCAATAAAATGTAATGGTCATTGAGATGGCTCAGCTGGTAAAGGCACTTGCTACTAAATCTGACACTCTTGAGTTCCATCCCTTGGTCCCACACGGTAAAAGGAGAGAACCTACTCTGGCTGGCTGCCCCCCACCCCAACCTCCATATGTCAGTTATGTGAGACTTTGTCAAAAGGAAAAACCAAACCGAACCTAGACTGCTCCCCTGGAAACCAGAGGTGTTTTTCCAGCCCCATTTCCCATTGTTACAATGGCCGCTCATTATTATCTATGTAAAATACTAGAGTATGTAGCGTTGCAGGGTTGGTGTTATGCTCTGTGGCCAGAGCCTGCTTGAACAGTCCAGAAACTTCAGAAATGACTCAAGTGGACACATGTAGCTGAGACCACATTGTGTTGGATAGGGGGTGACAGACATGTGAGGGTCTGTCAAACTAAATTCCCAGGGGGAGGGGCAGAACAAAATGTTCTAGGTTAAGTAATATGTAAAGGTGGTCATCTGAAGTTCAGTTGACAATTACTTGGGACATGTGCCCACTGGTTAGGATATAGTATTGTTTGGAACAATATTAGAACCACTGGCATGTGGTGATTTAAAAACAGGTTGACTGGTGGAGGCCCGCCCACCACCGCACATCCCCTTGGGGTGGATACCAATACGATGTGCAAGTTGTGGTGGAGAGAGGCGGGAGAGAGAAGCAGCACAGTGCACTATAAAGAGAAAGAAATAGAGCTTTGATGGAGGTGAGAGACAGTCTGAGGTGAGGGACAGCCTGAG